ATTTGTATGTTTTTTAGCATTTGTAATTTTCTATCAAACGATACCAAGTTCAAAAAAGATTAAATAAGAAATAGTTGAAATATTATGATTTGTAGTTGTAAAACTGTTATATTTAAGCTATTTCTTATTCCGATCTTTTTGAGCTAGGTATCGTTTAAATACTAAAAATGCTAAATTATCTTAGAATTTTTTCATAAATTAACCGTTTTTGAGTAGTTTAAGGTTAAAAAACTAAAATGACCGCCATTTTGAAATTTTAAGTTGCATCAAGTAGTTTTTTCCCCTAACATCGGTCTCTTCTACCTCAACATATATACAAGTTTCATAAAGATCGGTTGAAAAAATGTAAAGATAAAAAGTGTATAAACAAATAAAAAATGTCGGATATCTGGTTTACGAAGCGATTTTGGGTAATACCCAAGGAATCAGTACGTAGATTAATTAAGTCCCCACCCTTTTTTTGAACACCCTGTATATATGAGAAAGAATCCTTAGAGAATTGTCTTTATGATAAAACGTGTCATGTTAAGTGATAATAACATTGTATCGGATTAAAAAATGTGTATTCATTTAAACGACTGGTTAATAGCTCAAAGTGCGAGAGAAGTATTAAGCTACAATACCCACACTAATAAAGGATTAGTTTCGAATAAAATATTAAAGACCCTTTCCCTTTTATAGGTAATGATTTTTCCTTTTATATCGGTTAAACTGCTCCATAAGGAGGATTTAAAATGATTATGCGTCTTTAATGGAGCCATTGAAAACTAAAACAGGCTTTCTTAAAACAGTTACATATGTTTAGGGTGGGAGGGGGCATTCATTGACTGTTAATTAAAAGCATAAGGTTGAAGTATTTGATTAAATGCATGTAAATGTATACTAATTGACCATGGAACGTACAAGGTGTTTTAAGATCTAGTATTATGGAACCACAAAAAATGCATCTATTTATAATATTCCTTTTATTGGCCCAATATTAAACCAGCCAACATAATCTGTTAGTCCTTTTCAGTGACATTCCCTTTGATTTGAATGGCAATTGTGTTAAAGTACCTATTGATCAATCACTTTCTCTTTTACTTTAAGTTTAAGTAAATTTAATTATAATTCGTTCAGTTTAGACATTCAACAAAACCCATTAACAACGATTTTCGCTACAATTTGTTTTATTTAGGGTTTCAATAGTTAACAACAGCAAAGCCACTCTTATGCAACATTTAAGAGTCCTTGGGGGCTAGCAACCATAATGTATAATTTCAAACAGCTGCTGAAGAGTTAATGATCGTCCAAAAATATTTTTTCAATCACCAAAGTGATTATAATTTAGATGTCTAGTATACTGTGAGATTAGAAATGTTCTTTGTAGTTTTGAATTGTTCTCCAAGGGAGTCCATGGAAGCTAACAGCCATCTTGGATTTTCCCACCATAAGAGCAAAGTTGATTTCGTTAATTTCAAACAGCTGCTGAAGAGTTATTTACCATCTCAAAATATTAGTTCAAACGCCAGAGTGATTGTAATTTAAATATCTAGTATACTGAAGGATTAGACATTTTCTTTGTAGTTCTCTAAATGTTTTACGAATTAGAACGTCTAGGCTCCAAGGACTCCAAGGTTATGTTTACGGCTGTGTTTCATGTTTATAAATTGTTATCTTACAAACATTTCCTTGTATAGTTTAAGTTGCAAAATATTTCCATTATTTGAAACCTCTTCTGCTACAAATCCCAATCGTTATGTCTTCTCAATATTGGATAGGATAGACAAGATAATTACATGTCTTATCATTTTAAGTATAGAAAATGTTTAAGTACATTTTTGTAAATAAGCATTACAGTAACGCAATATATTTAACTGTAATCTATTTAGTCAAGTGGCGTTTCCTTGGGCAATTAGGCACACAAAAACATTGCAGGTTAATGAATCAAAAAATTATTATGCATTAAAATACAACAACTGCGAGGAAAACTTCCCAAAAACGTTTTTTGACCAAAGTTTCTCTATAAAGAACGCATCCCCAGCACGATGGATGTGATAAGGTAATACTCATCTTTGTTCGTCACGTATTTTGGCTTTGAAAGAAAGAAGTCATTTACCTTACACAATAGGATTTAAACTTTACGAAAGAGACAATCCTGTTAGAAACAAACCAAACGAAGAACCAAGAAGTTAGATCTAACTTCATTGTGATTCTTAACACGGACCTCTAAAAGAAAAGGTTCACCGGAAAAGTTTTAGGCATTAGAGTACTCTTAGTTTTACCACCGGAAATCGTAGGTCCCATCGTAGGTAAACTGTTGACACAAAATAATATTAAAAATATGACATATTATGTATAACCACTCCTAAATTTTGGTAAATGTATTTAATTGGATTCAGAAGGGACTTTAGAAAATGAAAAGAGGATGATATTAAAATAAATTTGGTTTGTTCTGCTAACAGAAGCACACAGATTTGTGAAAAGCCAATGTAAAATGTACGTTCGTCACTTAGTCTTAAAATAAATTCTGATATAATATAGAATATTGCCCATTCACAAATCAATAGTAAGCATAACATTGCGTACCCAATAATATTGGAGAACAATATTGCAATATTCGGTGACAAGAAATGTAAATCCAGGTTCAATTCTGAAACAAATACTGGAAAATCTACTAGGAAGGGACATTAGAAGGCAATCATTAACCATTTGATCCACAGTGTACAAGTCTGCACCAAAGTTATGTCATGTAATCCATTATTCCCAGTTTCAACCTTCAATAGTCAAAACTTCTCACCTTAAAGCCAAAGTGCTAGAGAATCAAACAACATATGTTGAAGGTAGATAAAATCATAAAATTCCAAACATTTAAGATGGAATACTTACTAGAGAAAATACTTAGCTAATAATCATGAATTAGAATATAGTAAAACAGATTTATACTGTTACAAAATAACAATACCTTACAATGTGTAATAAATAAAATATTAAGTAAAATTTAACAATTTTGTAGTGCAAGGAAATGCACATACTATAACATTTTTTCAGTTGAGTGAAAAAGTTTTACGGTTTCCAGTAAAAAATATTGTTGATTTAATATATCTTTAAGTATGATTTATAAGTAAATATATTTCTATCAGATATAAACCGCCGATTCCACTTGAACGCCTACTGATGTCTGAGCCCTCTATGGTAATCAACGTGAATGGCTCCCTTATAAGCCCTTTACACGCTTACTCTGAACGACTAATACGTACTAATATGATTGACTAATTAGTCCTATAGCATTCTAATTAAAATCAACTTCCATTTATTTTTTAAAATTTACATTCATCAAAGTATCCTGGTTCGCGAAAGAAATGAAAATAATATGGTATGTATTGGTATTTAAAATGAATTAGTTCTGGACTTATGTATTTACAATATTTGACGTTTCTTGGGCAAAAGTTAAAAATTATTAAAAACACTTAATTTTTTGTTTTATTGGGCATTGGTTTTTGTTTATTTATGAGACATTAAAAAATATAGTCAATAGCTTTAACTTGCAACTTACAGACATTTATGAAGTCTTATATGAGATGAAAGTGCGAAAAAATATTCATATTCATGTACCCAAAACAATCACTGCTGTGCTAAAAAATAGTAACACTTGTTTTAGGAACTCAATTTAATGTTTTACATACTTTTATTACTAACGCAGTGTGTGCTTTTGTGTTAAAAAAAATAACCAATCATGTTAACTTGACAATTTATGGTTCGTTTATATTCGGTTCGTTTATAAATAACACATTTTGCTTTAGCACATCCACTGGGGCCTTAAACATCAGATTGAATCACTTCAGTTATTGATCAGTTCAATAGTAGTGTATAGGTCAATCATACTGTCATCACACAATCATACTGTATAAACGTCAGTCTAGAGCATTTTTCAGATGATACCATTGCAATTTTTAATTTTATCCTAACGACATTATCATCCTGTTACAAAACATACATTTATGGTGTAGTATGATGATAAAGGTTAACGTTAAGAAATAGTTTGTACCTATAAAAAATTAATACAATTTGGCATGAACAGATTAAAGATAATATTGGTAGGCAGGCTATGTCCAGTGTTAAATCAATGAATAATATAAAATCAATAAATCAATTTTCATTATCCCTGATCCATCATTGGCTGACTTTCAATCACCCAAACAATGAAATCATGATTTCTTAGTGGTAAAATGCTAAAACTTAATTGAAATCAAAACATGATTTCCATTAAAAAAATAGCGTCAAGTGATCTATAATTTGAATATAAAGAATGATAACTACAACTTGAAATATCTTTTGATGTGGTTATTAGCTCTACTTGCACAGCCATATACTTGGTATCGTTTAATCATATTCTTTTTGACTTTGGTATGCAGCTAGACATTTAAGTTCTCATTTAAAATTATTTACGACGGAAATCAATTGTATTGTAAATTGGCGAGGTGTTACGGTAGTCTCAGACAGGTGTAATATTTTTCAGCAATGAAAGGATCCACTACAAACTAACGATAGCTTCGAAGAGAAAAAATCCACAGCATACATGATACAGTTTTTATATGATCTGTAGTTTACAATTAGCGAAGAAATCCATCTCATCCTTAAGATAATTATGTTTTAAGTTATTAGCGAGCTATAAAGTTGTGCCAAATACACTTCATTGCCACACTGCGTATAACCAATTTTCAGTTTATATTTATTGGGGAAAACCGCATGTAAGCTATCAGAAATTTGCATTACTAGAGCGGACAGTTGGGACTTTCAAGTAACATTGAAGTATTCACAGAGCAGAGGTAGATATATCTGGAGGCCTTGACTCTACAGGTGTAGCGATGAGCAGAAGTAATAGAACAAAATAGAGAATAGCTTGGCTTATTCCCTAAAATATTTAAATTATTTTGTAAGATAAAATAAAATATTTAAAACAAAAGTCAGACCTTTTCACATGAGATTGGAATTCAATTATTAATGAAAAATTCCAGCCATTTACTCCTGCTTTCTTTAATTCACAATTTATTTAGCAGTTAGCTGTCCTTAGTTAACCTTCGATTTGGTTACAGTGATGGTGTCTTGAACTAGTCGCTTTGGTGTGAAGACACAGTGAAACATGTATATTGCTCGGTTCGTGAAAATGAAGTACCAGTTTCGGGCCATGTGCACTTCTATGTTCCTAGAAGGCGCTGCTAGAATTATCTTGTGCGTAGACCATCTGCAACAAATTGGTTTTTCAAGGTATATCAGTTACAACACACACAGGTTAGAAATTAAGCAAACATCTGTCGTAACTTTGTACAGAAAGTAGTTATTTTCGATGAAAGCTGATATCAAAGATATTAATTTTGTTATCCAAAATCCAATTTTGAGCAAGAAAACACGATCAGTTGGGTTTCCCATTTAAGATTTTCTTCTAACTCCTAGAAGGTAGCGCACCACTGAATAATATGTTAGTTAAAATTATTTACTGCCCAGAAATTATGTACCAAGTTTTCAAGCTCTATCTTAATTACTTTTTTTAAATATTTAACCACCCCGTGATTTTTTCCCACCTTATTAAAAATAGCTTAGAGCCCAATTGTGAGGACGAATAAAATAATATCAATGTTTTACCATGTGACTTGCTGAAGTACTGTAAAGAGATAAAATCAAGGATCGTCTCTAGAGTGTTTCCTTGACTTGGGTTAACTACAATGGCTTTTGGGTTCCAAAATAAGACAGAAGTGGAGCCGTATCAACCTAATGACTAATACAAGTACCATTACTAAGTATATAATTATTGTCTTTGTACTTAATACTCTCAATTGTTTGAATACAGTACATATTTAAAGTGTTAATAGAGATAATTTTAAAACAAAAACAAAATACTCAGAAGATACATTAAGAAATTCTACATGCAGAAAAAAACCAAACCTTTTCAGCATGAATAGGAGCACATTAGAGTCGATTTCGTATCTGAGGCCGCAAAGTGTCATTCTATTGAAGCTCCCCTTTCCCTTCAGAGCACTAAGCTTAGCCTCCGCAGCGAAGATTTTGTCAGCGTAACCCTGCATGTTTTGGTAGAGATATTGGTAAAGGGTGTTGTCAGTGATCGGTCGCAAAGTTTTGTATGTGGCATCCTGGCTTTGGACAACTACGATGACTGAGAAGAAGAGGACCTGAAAAGGTTGGATGTATTAGATTGTTAAAGCAGAGTCCGCTGAATTGATTTGTGTAAGGGAGATTTTAATACCGTAATAACAAGGTTTTCATGTAAAATGGTAATGGTAATGTGCTTATGGTGAGTCGGTGACTCAGTCGGTAGCGTCACGGACTTCGGGCCCAAGGCAGTGAAAACATTTTATCAGTACTTTAACAGTTCACCTTTGTACTGTACCGGCTCACTTCTTGCTTTGCTGGATACGTTCCACGCAAGGGCAGTTAGTCTATGTGGACGGGCAAATGCAAGGTTAAAAGAGGCCACCAACCTCTTAAAAAAAGATAAGATTATCTAATGTGTATGATATCAGAGGCAGGAACCTTGGATAAGGTGTTTAATCTATTAAGAAGATAAAACGCGCCTCAGTGTACAGAACACCAAGACTGGGATAAAGTCGGTCTTTTTGCTCAAAATAGGCCTACCACAGTGCAATATCATTGGTTTATAAACAGTATTTAATGTATTATAATGGTTATGGAACATTATTTCCATCACTCCGTACGGAAAGTAGCTGCTTTCGATAACACCTGACATCAAAGATAGTAATATGTTTCATAAGCTCTAATTTTTATCAAAGGAAAAATATATGATTTCCCTTTCCTTACATTTATTCAATCAGTTCTCCAATAGCCCACTTGTTTTTGTTTACAATAGTCATTAGTGCATATAGAGTGCGATGTGGCACTTTGCACTCGCGTTACAACTATTTTTCCTACAGTTACTATAAAGAATATGAATATCAAACGAACAAAAACATAATTAAAAAAAAAATTGAAATAATTTAGTCTTTTAAACAATAGATTTTTAGGTTAGGTTAAATCCAAGCGTTGAACGAAATGGAAAACACTGCACTAGCTGATCATAGCCGTAGTATCTTTAAGTGTTTCCAACAACTAACTTATTTTCAAGCGTACTCGTCTTACGTGTATAAACAAGCACACTGTTTCGCGTTGTTTGGTTGGAATACTGGAGTGCGGCAAAAATATGAGTGCGGAAAAAGTAATTTAAAGCCGCAGTTTGCAATTATCAGTGCAAGGAAGCCCACTTTGTCAAGCGACCAGTTACAAGTGTACGAACGCTAATTAAGGACATTTTTAAATATCTCTTTAGTGTTTTGAAATTGTCAATTGCTACGGAGCCCATGGCAAAAAAAAGACTTTGAAAAATAAAAAGCATGAAATTATGTTCTATTTGCTGAGGAATTTCTGAGAGTTGCTATTTTAAAATAATTATAGCTAATATTGTACTTTGAATAATGCAAAGCCGAGTACGAATATTTAAGTCCATAGGAATATAAGTTTTGTACAGGATGTCACGAAAAACCACAACGTGCTTTACAGAACTGAATTCTACGTACAAAAATAAGATACAAATCTAGAATAACATTTTACCAAAATCGCCTCGTTAACCAGATATCCACCATTTTGTGTCAAATAAACATGTTTATATTAGATTCATTTTCAAATAAATCTTTATGCGACTTTGTAAGTAGGTTAAGTTAGAATAGACCCATGAGAGAACAAAATTATCTGAATTCAATACCAAATTTGAAAATGGCAGAAACTTTAGGTTTTTTTTTAATTAATAAAAAATACTATATAAAATGGCTGATTTTATGACAAATTAAAATTACCGCCATTTATAAATTTCGTTTTGGACCAGGATCAATGTTTTTCTTACGTGGGTCAGACCTACCTTAGCCCACATACAAATCTTTATAAATATCTGTTGGAAAAATTCAAAGATAAACTTGTTTGTTTATGTGAGAAATACAAAATGGCGAATATCTGGTTAACGAAGTAATTCTGGTAAAATGTTATTCTAGATTTTCATCATATTTTTGTATTTAGTATCTGGTTCTGTACAGCCCATTACCGATTTTTGTGACACCCTGTATACGAAGCAATTTTAAATTATAAACCAAAGTAATTATTTTGAAGAAATCCAAATATTTGCAAGCACAATTTCCAGTTTAAAGTATTCGAATTTTTTTATAGTTGTAAATAATACAATACTCACTGTAGCACCCAATGCTCGTTTCATGGTGGCCAAACCAACTGAAAGAATAATTATGACGATTTCTGCCAGCTGTGTATGCTCAATTAGATGGTATCGAGTTGATTCGTGAACTTTTTAACCTGTTTCCATATGATATATCATATCATACACATTGTTTCTCCTTTTCACCTATAAGTTTTTATTATTAGCCAGTGATTAGATTGAAACAAGTATTTTGTGGCAAAACAAAAATTGACTTTTTGTCAGTGTTATATAACTCTGACAAAAGTTTTGTTGCAAAATATATTTGGTTGTATGTGAAACAAAATTTCGACAGAGTATGTGAACGTTCAATATATTCAACACTTTATACTTTACTTTGATATGGCATGGAGATTAGTATATGATAATATAGCACATGGTAACTAAGGTACCTACAGTTTATAGTGGAATCCGAACCTTATTTTTGTCTTGTAGTTATCAAATTTGTCTATCAGAACAGTACTGCGGATAGTTGTAGTATTCACTAGTATGGAAGGTAATTCACACCAGGGAGTATCGCATCCACAGTGCATGCCTATAAATATCCACAATTCGTCATCTCCTAGTAGTTGGATTACAGGACGACGCCATCGTACCAGTCATAATAAGCATTGGCTACTAACTGTAATTCTGAAGCAAGGCCACTCCGTATGCTTAAAACGATGAGTAAATTTTTCTAGAGGTTGTTGAATCTCGCTTTTCAAATTTTAACTATGCCACTGTAATCTTATTTTCTTAATTACGTTGCTTCTGAACAGAAAACTGTTATAACTCCAATTCAAAATACTAAATGAAATGAAATGAAATGAAAATCCTTTATTTCAACAGGCAAAGTTAGGGCCACATGGCCCTTTCTTACACTTAACCTGCATACATAATTATAAATAGAAAATAGAAAATACAATTTAACACATTATTTACACAAAAACAATACTTTTTTGATAAAACGAAAACAAAATGCCTAACAACAACAAAAAAGTCTCACACACTCAGTCAGCAATTACGCAAGTGCCAAAACAGTCCTAGGACGCACCAGCCGAGGCCATACGCTCAAAGTACATTTTTTTCAGTGCCGCCACGAACCGAGGACGACTATCAAGCATTTTGATGGATAAAGGTAAGGTAAGTTGTTCCAAAGACGGCAGGCAGTTACAACAAAGGCCCTGTCATATGCTGTACTCCTATGATGAGGTATGCGTAACGTGAAAGATGCAGTGCGTGAACTCCTCAAGCTACCTTCGGCTACAAAGCTAAAGTCCCCTTCAAAATATTTTGGCAATCTATTTTTTTAAATTGAGAATGCTAACATGGTGATTTTAAGTAGCCTCTGATCGTTCAACTTTAATATTTTTGATTCAATGTAGAAAGGTGTAATGTGTTCAAAGCGTCTTAAATCAAATGCAAATCGCAAGCAATAATTTTGCGAGCGTTGCAGCACACCAGCAAGACTTACAGTCATGTCATTGATCACAGAGTTGCAGTAAGTGAAGTGGGGAAATACGAGTGATTTGACAAGGTGGAGCTTTATGTGCAATGGCAAGAAAGTTTGCAATCTCTTTAATGAATGTATTGATGAGAACACCTTTTTACGAATATCAATCACTGCATCTCCCCAAGTGAGTGTAGTGTTGAGAGTCAGTCCCAAGTTTTTCACTTTGTCACAGTATGGTAGTTCAGTACCGTTAACAGTGATTGGATTTGTAGCATGAAAGTCAATTGAGCCTTGCAGTCGTTGATGGCAGATTATGATGGGTTTTGTTTTGTTATGATTGATTTTAAGTCCATGTTTATCGGTCCATTCAATGATTCGTCCAATGTCTTCGTTAATGTTTGAAACACAATAGTTAATGTCATCGGCGTTGAAGTGAGAGTAAATTTGTAGGTCGTCAGCGTACATGTGGTATTTACAGTGAGTGAGAGTTGTGCCAATGTCATTGATGTACAGTACAAAAAGTAAAGGCCCAAGGATTGACCCTTGAGGCACACCACATGTAACTATCTCCCAGTCTGATCTCAAGTCATCAACCTGAACACACTGCCGCCTATCTGACAGATATGATCTTAACCATTTAAGAACACTATCAGAAAATCCTATGGCCCTTAATTTTTGCAATAATAGTCTGTGATTTACACAATCGAATGCTTTAGAAAAATCAAATAAGGTAAGAATCGTACCCTGTCGACGTTCCATTGAGAGTCTAATGTCATCTGTAACTCGAAGAAGTGCTGTTTCTGTACTGTGACCTTTGCGAAAACCAGATAATACTAACTGCTCTATAAGAGGAAAAGAGACATCAAAGGCAAAATTAACACATCTATCACAATGCAATTTTCAAATCTTGGCTCTAAACTTTAACGTCTACGACATCTTGGAGATGTCACAATATGCATTTTTATGTTGGATTTAGGTAACTATATTCAACGGGGGCTTAAAATTCGAAGGTATCTCTGCTTCTTCTCAATCATCATCTGTGATGACTTGGGGAATTGACAGATTGTTATGCTCCCCGTAGGAGAAATGTATATTTTGGTGGCTGTTGAAAAAGATAAGGTCGAATGCTGGATATGACTGAGTGTATTTGTATGCAGATCTGTCCATGATAAGGACAGTAACAAGGCTACTTACAAGGTTAAAAATAATGTCAGAAATCCTGGTTAAAGTTAAATAAGCCAATAGACTTAAACACGCTTAAATGCTCATATTTTTTCCAGTTCATTTTGTTTCAACTAGTATTTTTTTATTAATTTAACATTTTTATTCAACAATTGCAATTTCAAATTTGTCATGATAGATTTGGCCAAAACATTAAAATATCTTCCAATCTTGTTAAGTATAACTATTCTCTGCAAAAGGGATAAAATGAGGCTTTTAAAATAGATAAAATTATTTAAAGATGGTAACTTAAATCAGAACACATGAAGATCCTAATTATTATACGTATTATACGTCAAAAATGCTCAAAATGCTATTTAAAAAAAAATATTATCAATCTACTACAGTATTATATTCATATACCAGATTATGTTAAACTAATGCTTTAAGCTAGTATATAAATTTATTTTTAAATGTATAAATTAGATTGTTTGAACTCATAATTGTTTTGGTAAATTATTTTTATACGATTTGAATATTTTTATTACTTCCAAATCGATACTGCTGACTAGCTGATATTTTGTAGACCAGCAAATATTAAATTCTAAGCTTTTTCAATACCAAATAGCTATGTAAACATGAACAAAGATGGTTCAATGCCACATTCCTAGTGCATGTGTTTAATTGCTACAATTAGCTATATTACAAGTGGTACTTTTCTATGTTTTAACCACTGTAGCTCAATCGGATTCCAGCCATGTTGGCACTTTTGTTGTTTTTCTGGGTGAGTTTATTTCATTTTTATTTATGTTTAAATTATGCCTTAATTCATAATAAGAATTAGTTCATTAGTTTTATGTGTTAAAGAAAGAATTACATAAAAAAATCTTATTGTGAGTACAGAATATTATTAATTGTACTCAATTAAAAATCTAGTTTTGTTTTGCCAGATGGTGTCAAAAATATTTATCATGCTGTAGATATTACAAGCTTTTGTCAGCCCATCATACATAGGATTCGTAAAGTTTGAAGTGCTTATCATCAGGTGATGTTAGTTAAATATTTGCTCACACGTTATGACGTGTCATTATTTTGAGCTGTCATAAGCTAAACAAATTTACAACATGAAATAACTATATTTGACACCTTACGGCAACTACGTAAGTATATTTTTATCATGTAATGAAATTTGTATGGTGTAAGATTGTCCATTTAGGAAATACAGTATTTTTACTTTTTACTTTTTTAATTACTATACAGAAAACAATCGCTCATCTTGAATAAATTTGGAAGCAACATTTTTCTAGTAAATAAAATATATAAATATTATAGCTCAAGCATTTTTAACACTAAATAGCTATAATTAGCATTAATAAAAATTAAATTTTACCACACTCCTTGTGATATTAACAAATAAGGAAACATTTCTGATAAAAAAGAAATATTTCTAAAAACAAACGTACGTTGATCGGTTAAACTATTGTGTATAATTTAAAAGAGATGAATTTAGAAAAGACGTTTTGTTCATGGACAATGGATTTACCACCAATCGATAATTGATGAAAATCCACCAAAAATTTGTCCAATATCGATTACTTAATGGACAAGAAGTTATGATTTTTGTTAACATTTGGTGGATTTGCCTATAGAAATAACATTGTGTTTACCAGTGACACCGGTAAGTGCGGGCCGCCCATTGCGCTCACGTTCACTCATCCCATTACGCGCAGAATAAGCGTTTGGACCATTTAATCTTCACGTCATCGACGTTATGCTGTGTAAAAAAATTAGCCATGAATCCAATGCTAGGATATTTTATGTCGTAAATATAATATAACATAGACTTACTACATGCAAAAACTAATAAGGAACGGTGATGTCCAATTTACTAATATTTTTTTTTATCGAAGTACTACATTACAATTATAGTCAAATAATAATTACGTTTTCAGATTCCTCTCGTAATCGTGGCAGGAGATGAGACACCCAAAGAAAAAAACAACCAAAAATGGGACAGAAAAACTCGCATCGACGAAAACACCAAGTATGAAGACCACCCTGTTGACTTGAGAATGCTCATAGACCGAATCGATGCAGGAGATTTGAAGTATAGAAACAAGCAACTCACCCCGCAGGCAAGATGCAGAGGGCTGATCACTGTAAACCGCAACATTGTACCACTATTGATTGCGTACAACATGGGCAAAACATTCAAGATCCACGGTAAAAACGACGAGGTGGCCGAAGTGAAGGTACAAACCGGATTATATGTGTCCAGGATCAACTCTATCTGGCGGCAAAACTTTAGATGTATGACTGGTAACTCTCTGACATTGCTGAATTCCGCTAAACCTAGACCTGTTGTGCCGTTGTTTTACAAATAGTTTGAATTTGGAATAGCGGATGTGTATGAAGTTTGAAATAAAATATTGTACGAGTGTTTTTGAGGATTTCAATTGGTATATGACAACTTATTCTAGCGGACAGGCAGAAACATTCAAAAAGTTAAATAATAGCATCGACAAAAAGAAGGAAATATGTGCTGTGCTGCGGTTACCATGGGTTCTGGCGCATACCGCTGGGAGTGCCATGTAGGGTGGCCTACGCGCTACGTAACTATACACGGCGCTCCAAGCGGTGTGCGCCAGAACCTATAGTAACCATGGTAACCACTGCACGGCTGTGTCTATATTTAATTATTTTTGTCTGTGATAAAAGGGACAATATGTCATATGCTACTTATAAACATTTATGAATTTAAAGAAGTAAATTACAATTTTAAACTGCTCAAGGACTAATAAACCACATACCTTATGAGCCCACACAAATAAGGCACAAAATACAGTTTAATCATCCTAAATCCACAGATAAATGAAATCATATCGAGTTTTAAAAGAAAACTAATGATTAAAACAATGCTGTTCATGCTTATAAACAACCTATTTAATAGCTAACAAAGATTATATACATTTTATTTGGTTTCAGTAGTATATAAACTAATTTATTGATTCCAAAGGTTTGGAAACTTAAGACTTTACCTAATTATAGGATAAAGTTAAATATTTATTTTTACGTATTCAATTGGTTTTAATTAAAGCTTAATAGTAGAAGGGCTGATGCGTTCCTGGGGACTAAACCTGTTATTTACTACATAGTGGTCAGATGAACATTGTCTAAATTTATTATACATCAAAATATGTAAACGAGTTAAATACTTTTGTGGTTTATTTACTGTTTGCTCAACTAACCTTCACAAATAGAAAATAAAAGTTGTATACAGATTTTTAATTGTAATAATTTGTAATATTTTCAAATATTATGATGAAGTTTAATCATAACTTACACCTTTTTTCCTACTTTCTGTTAAATTGATATAAAATAATTTCTTTTACATTGTACAATCGATAATTGATAAATTATTGTTAACAACTATTTATGCAAGTTTAAGGTTTACATTAAACTAAATGTCAATTGTGGAATAACAATAATAATGAACTGTTAATATATACACTTCAGGCAAACACACGTATAATTTTAAACAAGGTGAGGATTTATTGTAAGGAAAAAATCGAAAAGTTGCAAACAATTAGGGTGAAACTCATTTAGTCATACCTTAAAAGACACTTTTTATGTTTAACAATATTAACGAAAGTGATAAAGTACCTCTATACTTCACAGTGTCAAATAAATGTCAGGCTATATGTCGGTGTCAAGAAACCTTTAAGAAGACAAATATGACATCTGAACCAGCAAAAACCAATTTACTTGAAATCAATATTTCACGTAAATATGTCAAACACCTGTGAGGGTAATGAACCAGGCGTGTCAATCAGATTTATTGTGGAAACTTGGTATTATTATTTTACAACTATCTGGTATGGTTTTGAGTTTAAGAAAATGTTGTGTCCTTCGAGACGAATATTTTTCAAATATTCAAAAGCTTCCGAATCGGTGATTTAACCTTATCCAACCGTAATTAGTCTTATCTTACAAACGGGGTTTTCAACCTGAAATTATTTTCTGTTAAGATCAAGTGAGTAGGACTGAGTTGTAATAATATATACTCCTAAAAAAATTGATATTATTTAGTTACGTAAACCTAAAGAGACCAGTAAGTAAAAGGTTTATTAAGTTTATATTAAATTTATTAGTGATTTTTAACAACTATTTTAAAGTGATCGATCGAATGGATTCAAAAGGTAGAACCGTTGTGTCAATTGTTGGCAACTTGATCAACATTAAGCTCTAAAGCTATTGGGATGATTGTTATTGGTTCTGTAATTCCAAATCCGATAATCTTTAGTTCATAAAATCGATCTCTATAGATTTGAAACTTTTAGTAGGTTTGCAAACACTGATTCCTACATTTATAAATATGGTTTCGTAGTTTTATTTATGAGCTATAATCAAGACCGAATTGGTTCTATCGTAATTCAGTTTTTACAATATATTTATTATGCAAATCTACATGTTAAGTAAATGCAGATGTGTTCTTATTTCGTCAAAAGAAGGATATAGAAGTCCCGGGAAAATAATTGAAGCTCCAGGAGTTAGTAAGATGCATAAAGAGTAGTTTAAGTCATTTGTCAACAAAATAATGGAATAAGGTATTTGCAGACACCTTGTTAACTAAGATCTGATGAGAACCCAATTATAAAGTCATTTCTTCATAATTCTGTCTCAGTTTTAAATAAGTTGCTAAGCTAAGTCGCTCATTTAGCTTAACTTTTATTGTTATATTGAATCTCCGTTTCAATTGGATGAAGATGAAACTGAAGAATACGTGATCATTTATAGAATTGCAATTAAATATAAAACTAACTCAGAATATAAATACATATAGCTAGGCCCAGTTTCGTTTATGAGAGTTCAAGTATTATAAGTTGCACTAGGCCTATATTCTCAAAGTGTGTTCTTAGGTTGAATTCTTAAGCTAAATATTTAAAAAAAAGAAAAATTTTTAAATTTTGTATCCTTATAAACTAGTTCCAAAAAGAATTTTCATCTTCTTTTGCTAATGTATAGGACCAGTTGTTACCCTTCCCACATGTAAATGACCCAAAGCATTGCGCATTTAAATTTTTTAATGGTGGCCAAAAAGGAATACGTTTACAATGGAATATAACAAAACTATTAACGCAAACTACATCCATAGTTAAATTTGAAAACAAACGCATAGAGAAAGGCGGTAGGCTAAGTCAAATTTTAAACTAAAGAAATAAATATAACAGCTGATTAAAAACAAACCTTGAACCAAAGCATATAATGTGATAATGTCTTTTGATTATGTTGAATATTTGATTTCACTGAATGCAACTACTTTTATTCAGCATATGTAAAATCAAATACCTTTTACCCATTCAAACAGCCTCTCATAATATAGCTTAAGCTTGAATAATTTATTTTATTTTAACTGTATTTTAATGTAACTACTGTACACATCAACTCCTGAACGTGTCTGTAAATCAAATAAATTAAAACAGTGATTTATTCAATCATTTAAATTTGTTAATATTCCACCGAGCGTTTGGTACTTTTTTGTAATTTGTTAACGTAGATTAGACCAGCTTGTAATCACTAAGCTTAAATTACATAAAGTTATTTTACAAATTATTTATTTATTATTTATTATTTTACAAATTATTTTACAAATTACCATATTGTTATTTATGTATTAAATAAATAACAATATGGTATATTATATTTGTTAATCGGGACTACTTTCTTCGGGAAATCAGCTGACAAACTTTACAGCTAAAAAATGCAGACATACACTACAGCTGAGATGGGTTCAATTCTAGGTAATTCAGATTGTGGAGGGAAACAATACTCTAGTCCCACAATGTATGTTTTCAAAACTAACGTTTCGCAACGTATTCATTGTTTCAGTGCTTTACGGTTCTAAATACTCTTCAAAGCTGAATAAATCGTTTATATTCGTTTAACATTACATATAACAACATAACATATTTAAACATATTTCGTGTCTTTGTTTCCTGCTAATATGTCCTTTATAAAATACCACTTTATTTATCTCAGTATATTAGAAACAATACAATATTGTGTTAATGCAAACCGTGATTTTCTACATGCCATTGGATGAAAAAAAAAATAATAATCAAATTAATTAAGACATAGACTTCGTTATATTGAGATATAGTGACACAGTAAACATGTAAAGTATGTATATTTCCCTTTAAAAAATAGCTTTGGAAATTTAATCCATGCGAATTAGCTTCCACCTTATTCTAGAGATACTCTTGTTCCAAAAGGCTTTATTATATACCTTGCCCAATTTATACCTACAGATTACAGCTCAGCGCCATTTTGGAGAATATAGGCTGCATCTGAAAATCCGGAGAGGTATTACATCCAGTCATACAGTACGTGACGAGAATACCTGTATAGCAACAGATGAGATTTCCATTTCACCCTTATCACTAGCGATCTAATCCTTACTCAAAAATCATAATGGACCAACATCAAAATTAGTTAAGAAGTTTGGCAATTAACAAATTACCTTTAGGACTATTAAAATCCAACCATTGGTTGTTCAGTAATTACTCGAACTTGTATATTAAACACTGTATTTATTGTTGGTGTAAACAAGTGGTATAATATGAAGAGGAGAAAAATTCTATTAAATAGTTTGCCCAAATTAGTATTTTTTATAAATTTTGTTCAAAATAACGTTGGAAAAATTAATGAAGTTTCTTGGAAAAAAATTAAGATAAATTATCATCAAATTGAAGACGCGGCAGAGTGCCACGTAATTAGTTTGCGTCCTTATTTACTTTATCTTGGTTAAAAGTAATTTACACTTATAAATTAAAACCTAAGTAGATGATCTTATTAATAGATGTACCAATGTTATTTAAATCAAGTTTTCATCATATCATATTTTCACTTAAATACACTATCATAGTATTCTAAATCTTAAAATTAATTTACCTTATGTGCTTAGTCACAAAAATCAGGAAAAAAATTTAAAAAATCATAAATTTCCGTGACTTAAATGGAAATAGTTTGTTAATTTTTAACATGTTTTAAACTCTCGATGTCTTTTTGGTTGCCACTTTTTAATGCTTGAAATTTAAAACCTTGTAAAATTACTTTGGATTAATTACTTTGAACACAATAGTGTTCAAACTTTGCAATAGCAATGTTTATTTAATCAATAATGGAAAACCTTTTGCTCATCAAATTGAGCTTTTAAAAAAATATTCATAATTTTAAAATTAAAATATTCCAAATAAGTTTAACACATGTAATTTATCTCCTAAACTTTATGAAAACAAAAATACTATAAGTTTAGAAAACATGTAGCTAAACCCATAATAAATTTTTTTTAAACACTGAAAAAATACTATTTTTGGTAACAAACCTTAACTCCAAGAAAATCTAAACTCCAGAAAATCTCAGGTTCACGTCCAATAACAAAC